ACTCAGGGTGGAGCCTGATCTACCACGGAGCTTTGGGAATCACCCATCTTGGCTCCATTCTACAGATGAGGAAACAGTCGCAGGGTGCTCACACAGCTTGTGAGAGGCCAGTCCAGCCATGCTCTGTAAGACAGTCGTCTACTGCCAAGCTTTGAGGATGGAGTGAAGTGCTTATGATTCTGTTTTTGGCTCCTCAGTTGTGTTTCTTGGCTGGTCCTTGCCTGGGGCTCTAGGACTTGGGCCTGGAAGCCCTAGGGCACAGAGAGTTGGGCTGGGCTGTGAGGATGGCAGATGGAAGGGCTGCAGGCCTATGGTACCACCTAGCACTGGAACAGGAACAGATTCCCATCTGTCAGGACAACCAAGGAGGGAAGAGATAACAGAGCTGTCCATGGTGGCTGGCTCACCCAGCTCAGCAGGGCCCAGCAGGCTTTCAGAATGACGCCACCACTTTGACGTTACCAGCTCGCTGGCTGCGGTGTTGGACCCATGAGCACTAAATCAGGTGCGTGAGTCCATATACGTGCAGAAGCCTGTTGGGCACCAATTCCAGTGCATGAACCCGAGTGAGTGCACCCGGCCGGTATCGGTACTGCCCCAACCCCGCCCGTTCCTTCGCCACGCTGTTCGGTCCTCACTCGAATTTACGAGTCTCTGGCAAGTTCTGCGTGCCTCCTTTTCGGGAGACCCCAATTCCTTCCACACCCAGTGGACTCAGAGGCCATGTGGCTGCCACGAAATTAAATCTCCGCAACGGAAAGTCGTGCGCCGTCCAAGGCAAGAGGTTCAATCCCAGCCTGGGTGGGCAGGGCTTGCGAAGGCCGGGGTACGCGTTTCCCTAGGACAGGAGCCACCGGTCCGCGCCCACCCGCTATTTTGCCTGCGTTGGATCCCGGAAGCAAGGGCAGAGGGGACTCCGGCGCACCGTTTGGCGCGAGTTCACTGAGCGTGTTCCGGAACAGCGGAGAAGTGGTGTCCAAGGACCCCAAATAAAGCCTTGGTCTCCAAACCCAGAGACCCGCTGGGCCGTCCTGGTCAACAGCGCCACTTCCAAGGGTTGCAAACTTAAAGCCGCTTCGGCCCACTTGCTTGTAAGCGGGGCCCGAAGTCCCTGGAAGGAGAGCGCGCACTCCCCGCGCACCACGGCTCCCACCGCTTCCTCTGGTTGTCCTGCAGCGCGACCCGCACAGGTGGCAGCCTGACTCCTGCAGGCACTTCAGTTTGTGACTACTTTCCAAATTACTAAACAGGGTGTGGGCTGTATAACCGGGAGGGGATGCAGCCCGCGGGCTGGTTGAGGCGGCAGCTTGTGCGGACACCAACGACCTGCGGCCGCCCTAATAAGGGGCACTTCAGCTCACCTGCTCTGGCCCTTCCGGTGCCTGCAACGCGCGCCATCCCGAGCCCACTAATTGTCCAAACCTTGTAGCACAGCCTGTCGCCCAGATGGGAGTTTCGGGGACAGATGGAGTCCAGGCGCACCAGGAGAGCAGTAGGAGCGTCACCTAAGAGGGCTAGGGCGTGGGGGGCGGGAGCTCCGAGGGTCCCCTAGGCAGCAGCTGAGCCAAAGTCTGGCGGCTGCCATGTAAGAGGGGGTCGTGGGTATGGGTGGCGCGACCTCCCCTATGTGGCCCCGGGAGCCAGATTCCCGACGACAACCTTGCCACCTCCATTTTACTGGCTATGCTCCTCAGCAAGTCACTGACCCCTTCTGTGCTTCAGTCTCCTCACCTGTAAAATGCAACACTGATAGCACTGTCCTCAAAGAGGGTGAGAATTGAATGATTAACACTGGTAAAGCTTCCCCTTGGGCCTCTGGTTGGCCTCGATGCCCTAAACCACCAGCGTTCAACAAATGTTGGCACCTCCTCTTCCAGCCTCCTACGTCTATTATTAGCACCCTGAACTCCCTGGAGGTGCAGCCTGGCCTCACTGCTCCCAGCTCTGCCGCCTCTGTTCTTCATTGCAGTGCTCCCCACCCCTCACCCTCACCAATTTCAGGCAGCCACACAGCAACATGGCAGCCCCTAAGGGAGAGATGGGGTGTAGGGATGTGAGTGAGCCTTGACCTCCATCTTGGGCCTGCCTAGAATGGCCCTTCACTGACAAAGTTGGTGGCTGGGGGTGAGGTGGAGAGCTTAGCTCCCAGGGGTCCAGCCCAGGAGTGGCTCAAAATCTCTACTAAAAGAGAGACTCAAAATGAGATGTGGGTCTTGTAAAGGAAATCCTTTGCCTTGGATGTTCTATGCGGCACCAAGGCGTTTACTTAGTAGAGGAAGTTCAGACAGATTGCTGGGTGGATTCTGGGAGGCAGACAGATATTTCTCCAGCATGGAGGGTGTCCAGGGGGCTCTAAAATCCAATGCCTGAGGCTGGGACTGCCTCACTGGTTCCAGTACAGTGATGAGAAGCACAGGTCCTTACTACCCCACTGCTCCTGCCCCAGATGGCCATGTGTGTCCCTGTACTTAGGGGACACACATGCCCCCTACAGCTGCCCTTGCATAGAGTGGGACTTCTCTGGTCTTAACAACACATTCTCCAGCTGAGAAGTACACTCATCTGAGGCTTCGCTCTGCCCCTGGGTTCACTGCCTGTTCCAGGGATGTGGAGTTTCCACTCCATGGGAACCAGAGGCCCACAGGGAAGCACCTCAGAGGTTCTGGCCTGCCCTCCAACAGCGAATACAGAGAGAGATCGTCATTTCTCTGTGACTTCTGCCCAGTAAAGGAGTGAGGACAGTGCCCTGTGGTGCAGAGGCCATGCAGAAAGCTCTGTCCCTCAACCTCAAGTCAGCCAACTCTTATAAGGGGTGGGGGAGAGATAGGACTAATTTTGCAGGCCTTGGGGGCCGGTGACTGAAGTCCTCAGGCCCCCGTTGCTGAGAGTTGGGGAACCACGAGAGCCATGTGTGGGAGGGTGGGGGGGACGCTCAGTCCAGCACACAAGAGAACCTCGGACTAAGGCTCCGGACCCACCTTGTGGGTGCCCTGCAGACTGTGCTGCACCAGGGACAGTTTACTTCCCTTTCCCTTCACCCCTTCTCGGGATGTGTGTCAGGGGTGGTGGTTCCCCAGTTAAGAACCCTGAGAAGTCGTAGTAGCATAACATGTTCTCCCACCCTACACCGAAGCACAGCCGCTGCCCTGAGGCCCCCATCCCCATCTCGGGGGCCACTCTAGGCTAGGAGACACCTGCCTTGGGCAGCCATGAGCACCAGGGCGCGTGTGGCTCTTCAGTGTCTGCGGACACTCCCTTCTCACACATCGTGGTGGAGATCCCTGTCTGGGCGCACAGTTAAGCGGGTGGTTTGGGGAAGAGCCCTGCTTCTTTGGAGGCCCAGGTCTTGCGTGGCCAGCGGTTGGACACCACGGAGAGCTTGGTTATGGGAGTGGGAGTGGGGGATAGATTCGTTTTATTTCAACACCTGGTCCTCTATGCAAGCACGGTGCACACGCGGAGCCCGTGCCCCACACACCAAACCTTGCCCCGGGGTAAAGGAAGTCGCGACTGAAACCGACCCCTCAAGTCCCTCGGATTCTCAGTTTCCACCTGTCGATTTCCAGCTTCCTTACGGTCTGTGTGTCAGTGGCTGGAGCCGCACCCAGTTTTGAATTCTTAACACATTCCGTTTCAAATGGGATTTCGAAATAAAAGCTATTAGATCCCGCCCTACCCTCTGCTCGGATTTGCGCGCTGTGGCTCCGCTCTGCACTGTCTTCCTCACCTTTGTCCGTTTTCTCCCCGTTCCCCAGCCTCCTTCCAGTCCACATTGAAAAGTGAAGCCTGTATGAGGCCTGATCCCCGGGCGTCTGCTACTCTGGTCAGCGGCCCGACAGTACCTGCTGGAAGACTTGGAAGCACCTGTCCCCTGGCTAGATGATGGAGTCACCCTCAGGCCTGGGCAAGGGGAGTCCGCGCGGGCCGGGCTCTGGGGCCAATCTCAAGAAATGGGGCTCCAACCAGGGAAACCCTCTCCTCCCCAGGTGCTCCAGGTGCAGAGGTCTGCCGCAGGGGGCCACCGAAGACGTCGTGGGCAAGAGGGCCCAGGGCCAGGGGACGGTTCCTCGGCGCCCGCGCCAGTAGCTGCTTTCAAAGGCCTGCGTCCTCGTGTAAGCCCGCGGGCAGAGAGACTACAACACGGTCTGTCCTCCTCCTTAGCCGGAAAGGCCACAGCTTTTTATTTTTACCCAGAACTCTGTTAAGAGCCACGTCCTAAATTTGTATTGCAGCTTTGGACTGTTCTTGAACCCAGTGGCCGCAAGAAGGTAGCGGTGGCCCGGGGGAAGAGCACCGAGGCCAAAGTGCCCCGTGAGAGTCACGCTCCCGGCCTGCGGTTCCCAGCCCCAGACACTTTTCAGTTAAAGCCCGGGGTGGGCGCCGGGGAGGGCCGTGAGTAGCGCCGGGGAGGGAGCGGGTCCTCTGCCAAACGCTCAGCAGCGCTGGGGACGGAACGCGCTGGCGCTGCGGGCAGGGGGCCCACGTGGCTGGTCCACCGCTGAATCCTCGGAAGCGGCCACAGTCGGCTGGGGGTGGACGACCACCTCTGAGCCGAGAGAAAATAAAACCGCGGCCGGGTTGGAGGCCTGAAGGCCCAGACCCCCGCTGCAGGTGCGGCCCTCGCCTCCCCCGCTCCCCCAACCGGGGGCAAAGTTCCTGAGCCAGGAGGGTAATTTTCACTTTCAACTAACTCAGTCCTCAACTAACGAGTTCCGGTTTAGTCGTCAGAAAATAAAAGTAAGAATAAGTGAGACGTGAGAAACACCGGGGAGATATGTCCAGAACTTTTTTTTTTTTTTAAAGAGACTGTGAGTTTGTTGGGAGGAAGATTGGTAGAAGGAGGATAGTCAAACAATCGGGTTATCTTTCTCCTGACAAACCCGGAGGAATTGTCCCCAAATCCAGCCCCAAGAAAGAGTCCTGCAACCCCTTCCCCAGGCGGATCCCGCACCTCCTGCTACCCACACGGCTGGAAAACACCCAACTTACTTTAAATTTTATTTAAAATCTCAATACTTGGTCATTTATTTCGTTTTTGCAACCAAACAAGTAATAAATATTATTTAGCAACTTTTTTTCTTTTTACAAAAATAAAACAGATGATACACTCTCTGCAAGGGGCAGCGATCGGAAAAGGGACATTACGTGGCAGACGCTGTGAAGCCCACATTGCGACGCTCATAGCGCCGAGGCATTAGCGCTGACGCAGGAAGCACGTGGAGTTTGTCATTTGTGTTAAACGTGGCAAAAAGAAACCAACATAGAGGAAACCAGGCTTAGACTCCGGTAGGGCTGGCAGTCTCGTGAACAAACAGCTTAGCAGCACGCACTTACCTCATTACTGATATGATATTTACACATCAAAGAAAGACAAAAATTAAAAAGTCAGCAGAACTCCCAAAAAACCCAAACTATATTCACAGCAACAGACTTTGAGTTCTGTCAAACCCCTAGGTACCACAATGGCTGCCCCCAATAGGGCAAGAGAACCACATCACTTTTGCTTAGAGATGGAAAGAATGGGGAGCGAGGAGATTCTTTTAAAATAACCAAAGAGAAAAAAAAATAAGCCCCTAAAGTCGACAGTTTTAGGTTATTCCGATCCTCAAGTAGTTCTTTCCGACAGTCTATAAAGCTTGCTCGTACTGTTGAAAAAGGAACATCGACAGATTTATTAGAAAACCACAAACCCCCAAACCAATAAGAACGACAGAGAGGAACAACAACAGTTCTCAGACGGTTGTGGCTTTTCCCAGACTTGGAGATTGGACGCGACCCCAAGTGCTTCTGGTACCGAATGCCAGCATCCACCTTGTAGCCCCTGCCCTTGGTCCAGAGACGACCCTTGAAGGCGAATCCCGACGTCTTCCCCTCCCCTGGTCTCGTACCCTCAAGAAAGAAGGAAGGAAAGGAAGTCCCCCCTGCTTCTGTCCCTCCCCTCCCCGATGTAACGAAGTGCTGCCCGGGCAGCGTGAAGCCTCGTACGCAGGGAAACCAGTTTTTAGAAACTTATCTGGTGTTGAGGGGGGGAGGGTCGAGGGGAGCACGCACATTCCAGTGCCGCCGTATAAAACAGTGTCTACTGGAGCAGCGTTGTTTAAAGCCAGAAAGGGCTGAATCAGGTCCCGGAACGAACGCCCCTCTCACTGCCCACTTGCTCAGTATGAGCCCCCATTGCTTCGGTCCCTGGTGCCATAGTCCTAACCATTTTCCCCCACCCCCAGCCAATGGTCCTGTGCTTCTCCTAGGAATTAAGCTCCCAGGCCCTTGGGCCCGCCAGTCCTCGCTTCCACGCGGCCTCCGGGACCCCAGCTCGCCAGAATGCTCCAGTGCCGGCCAGCTCACTTGGCGTCGGAGGTGAGGCGCGGCAGGCTGCCGGCGCCCATGGCCGACACGTGGTGATGCGGTGGCGGCACCTGGCACATGCTGCAGGGACAGGGCATGCCGCCCCAGTGCTGGAAGCTACTGCTGCCCCCGCTGCCGCCGCCCCCAGCCCCCAGCGGGGCCGCCGCTGCCGCAGACGGAGATTTGAGCAGGCCGTGTGGGGGCCGAATGGTGCCCACCGAAGACAACCCGGAGCCGGGCAGGGAGGCGCTGGACACTGCGGCGGCGGCTGCTGCAGCAGCTGCGGCGGCTGCGGCGGGAGGCAAGATGGGATGGTGCACCGCCGGATGGTGCGCGGCGTGCGCGGCGGCCGCTGGGTGCGCCGTGGCGGCGGGCAGGGGTGCTGAGTGAGCCAGGCCGCCGCAGGCTGATGGATGGAAGCCGGCGTGGTGGCCGCCGTAGATCTCGCTCACCAGTCGCTTCATCTCCTCCAGTGAGTTGGTGAGCATGAGGATGTAGTTGCGCGCCAGCAGCAGCGTGGCTATCTTGGAGAGCTTACGCACCGACGGGCCGTGCGCGTAGGGCATGACTTCTCGCAGCCCGTCCATTGCGATGTTGAGGTCGTGCATGCGCTTGCGTTCGCGGCTGTTGATCTTTAGGCGTAGCTGCTGCAGCTCAGGTTCCGTCATCTGTTTCTTGTCCTTCTTGGTGGACGACGTGGCCGCCGACGACGTGGACGATGAGGTGCTGGACGAGGATGACTTGAAACCGCCGCTGCTCAACTTGTCCCCGGGGTGCGCGCCCGCCGCGCCCATATTACCGCGCAGCTCTGCGCTTAGCTCTGGGGGACAGTCGCTCGGAGTGGATGAGGACACGGTGCCCCCCGTGAAGCCGCTGCCACCGCTGCCCTTACTCCGGGCCGGCAGAAAAAGGTCATCGGGTTCTGGCGACGACGGGCGACTGGACACCAGGCTGGCGTCCGAGTCCATGGCCCTGAGGGATAGTCGCACCTTTCTCAGGGTCCTCCCACCCTCCCCGGCCCTCGGAGCTTCCACGCACGCCTCCTGTGGAGAGGGGAAGAAATAGGAGAGAGATCGAGACGGAGATAGAGGCACTAAGTCAAGTGAGAAAGAAAAGCCGCTCCCGCCTGCACCGCAGCGCAGGGTCCAGCGCGGGTGGCGGGTTGCTCCGCATCCACCTCGTATTTCTGGCCTTCCTTCACGACACACAGGTACACATAAGTAACCTCTCTCTTTCCGCCCCCATCACCTCCCCTCCGCTCTCATCCACAGGTTGTTTTGTTCCAGGCAGCACTGGATGCCTCTCAGTAGGGGTGGCATTCTAGAGGTTTTATGCCTTCAGTTAGGAATAGGGAGGCTGATCTCCAGGGCTGGAAAGGCAAGCTAGGGGTTTTCTTTGGGGAGGGTGGAGATCTAAATAGAGAAGTATTTACTTGGTTCCTTAAAAGGATCCACCTTATCTTCACCGACACCGCGCAACAAACACACGCGCGCACACGCACCCACCCAGAGCCTGCGCAGAGCCCAGGTTCAGTGTGCTGCGTCCGGGGCCCGCAGGGAGCTAGCCAGTTGACCGGTACTTGGACGGGAAGGGGCTGTGGTAGCCCAGTTTCTTGCTTTTGGGCGACGGGGAGCTGCGGTGAGAGGGGAAGGTCAGAGTCGGAGTTTCCTGGGTTGCAGCAGAGTCTAGGGGCGTCTGTCCTAGGGATACAGGCTGGGGCTGCCGGGGGCGGGGACACTTACTGTGGATGCAATTATAGGAGCTCGTTCCCAAAAGCTGCAGCGAAGAACCCGGCTCTGGGCGCTGCTGCCGCGTCCGTCTATAATAAGCATCCGCACCTTTCCGGGCTTCGCCGGTTTTTATAGGCCGGTGGCTGCGGCGATCTCGGCGGCGGTGGCCGAGGCGGGGGCGGGGAACAATGTGCGGGTCCTGGAGGGGCCGCCGCGCCAATGAGCTGGGCGCGCCCGGGGGGGTGGGAAGCTGATGTCATCCGGGCTAATTCCGCTCAATGAAACTCGCCCAGCGCGGCACACGCCTCCTCCCCGCGCACAGCCAATGGGCGTCGGTGGTCGGGAGATTCTTGGGGAGGGCCTGGAGGAGGAACCCAGGGAGGGAGATGGTGAGGCGAGGGGGAGGAGCAGGTCGGGCTCGCGGGGGAAGTAAACCGAGCAGAAAGCCGTTGGGACCGAGGGAGAGAGGGTACGTGGTCAAAATTATGTAATGATCGGTGACCAGAGAGTCAGACTGGGGCGCGGGTGTACTGGGGGAGCTGCAGACAAACTAACCTGATACCTAAAGTGATCTGAGACCCAGTAGTCGGGGCTGGAGTTTCCCCTTCGCTTTTCCTTTCTCTCTGGGTTTTTGCCGCCTGCTCTCATCCTGGATTTCATCAAGACGTGGGCATTTTGAGCTCAAATGTCAGCGATAACCAGGCACAAAGCCCCTACTTTCTTTGCACTCTAAGCGTGCGTCTAGGAGCTGGCAGCCGCCGCTCCTCCGCGGGCGGCTGGTAGCGCCCCCAGCTGGGGGCAGGGCCTTTGGAAACAGAGCTCAGTGAAAGGAGAGGGCCGATTCCAGAACTGTGCTTTGAAAGAACTCACAACTCTTCATAAAGTTGAGGATGGTGTAGACACAGGCACGAGATTATTTCCACACAGTAACCGCGCTAAGGGCAGAGTCGAACCCAAAGTAAAGTACCCCCCACCCCCCGTTTATTAGCTTGGACACCTTATGATGGTATTTTCAGCAGCATCTTTGTGGTCGTCACCACTCCGTGGGGTGGGGGAGCGACGCTTGTTTGTCTGCAAAAAGGAAGTCTTGGGCCAGGGCGAAGACGTCCACGCCGCCGGCCAGACAGCGAGATCCAACCAGTCGCGGCCGCATTTGGGCACGTTTTACCAATCGCAGTCTGGCTTCTAAACCCAGAAAGCCTTAACCAAGAGGAATTAAATCCGGTCGAGAGAAGCTTAACTGAGATAGTTCAGTGGTACTGACTGATGTACCCATTTTACATATGGAAAACTCGAGAGATGATCTGGAAGCTTACAGAAAAACTTCTAACCCTTTCCCAGTGCAGCTGTCCATGTTGCCCGTTCCTTGCCGCAGTGGCAGCCACCGGAGTCTAACCTTTTCCCTGAGCTTGATTTCTCACATCCGTACATTCTGAGTACAGCAGTTTGTTTCTGCTACACCCCCTCTCCCAGGGAATGTTCCATCTTCTGGTTACTCCGTTGTTTGGGAACTTTTAATTTGCATGTACGGCACACACACACACACACACACACACACACACACACACACACACACACACACACACAGAGTAAGTAATTCATCTTCTAGTTAGCAAAGTTACGAAATAAATACCAAAAGAAACCCAAAATAATTGCTCCCAGTTCCTGGGTAAGCCAATGCCTGAATGCCCAGTGGGCTCCCGCCTTCACCCCAATCCCGTGTCTTCTGCAGCATTATTTTTCAACCCGCGTGTTTCCCAGCTGGCTCTGCAGCCATCCGTTAAAGATGTATTTAAAACATGAACTAAAGCGTGGAGCTAAGTCGACCAACGGTTACAGAGGATGATCCATAACTATTCAATTAGGAGAATCTGTCACATGGACAAACTCAGGGAGTGGGGATGGGGAGCAGGGAGAGTTCGGGTATTTGACATTCATTCCGTGGGGCCTCTCCGGCTACGGGCAGTGAGGACATTCGTAAGGGTGTGAGATGTGGGCCACCAACCGGTGTATGGACCTGTGCGCACGCCAGTGTAGCTAATAAAACACCAGAGGCGCAACGAGCGCGTGCCTGGGTTGCAGCCGCTGAGGTTAGTCCAGCTGGAGGCACTTGTCCCGGAGCCCTGATTCCTTCTTTTGTTGCTTGCCACCGGCTACTGTCCTGCGTCTGGCCGTCCGCGGGGCTGCGAGGTCCTAGGTTCTTTACGCGTTTGCTCCCGCGGCTGGAGTTGGAAGCAGAGACGAAGGCTGAGGGGCCCATCCTGACACCGCGAGAGTTTACAGCCTGGAAAGGCAGAGTCCGGAGGCAGGAGAGCAGGCTTACTTGCCAAGTTCCCGCGTAGACGCCCATAAGGACGCTCCGGGCCCCAGCCCCGCGCCACCAAGCCCCGGCAGTGGTGGCTGTTGGGGCGCTGTACAGCGGCACCTCGCGGTTCTCACTCCCACACCCGGAGCCTGGGCGGACAGCTCTGCGCTGCAGGCCCCTTCTCCCGGCAGCTCGCCCCAACATCGTCCAAGTCGCCAGAGAGTTGCTCAGGAGGGGCGGGTCTGTGTCCCCACCCGGCTGCTTTGGCGTAGGGCGAGTCGGTCGCTGGACCCATCTCAGCTGTGTCTCTGGGTGCTCCTACCCCTCCAGGAATGATTGGAAACTAGAGCCCGGCCGCTGGCGCTTGCCCTCGTGAGTCCCGGAGGTGTCCCGGCACTTGTCCGGGCCTTGCGCCCGGCGCCCGGTGTGCACGCCCTGGGCGGAGTCCCCGGCACCACCACTCCCACCCCCGCGCGCACCTGGGACGTTGCGCCTTCCAGCGAAATTGAGTGCTCACTTGGCCGATTCTAACCAGCCCTGGCCCCGGGAGTTCCTGGCTGGCCCGGGCGTCCAGGAGCTGTCGGCCTCTTCCGTCAAAACGGAAGACAGGATGTTTCCCTCTCCTTTGTGTTTTCCTCCCACAAAGGGCCGGGTGTGTGTCGGGGCCGGCCTTTGCTCAGCCGCCTGGCTGCCCGGGAGGAGCTTGTGCCAAACGGGGCCGGGGCGGGCCCGCACGGGGCTCCGAGGGCGCAGACCTCCCACCGCTTCCCGGGTACGTCCCGGGCCTTTCTTTCCTGTGCTCCCTTTCCCTCTCCCGAGTTCCTGAGCACATTCAGGCAGCGTCTCGGCCAGGCTGCCAGGGAGATCGGCGTCCTTGAGCAGGGCGGGCCAGGGCTGGCGGTGGGAGGCGAGGCTCCCCGGCACCGGAAAGGAGAGAAAAGAAAAAAGCATTTCAGCTATCGCTCCTGGTCCGGAAACCAGAAGGGATGCCGAATTGGCAGCGTTTGGCGCCCAAACGTGAGTGGTAAGACCCCTCAGAAGGCAGAACTCTGCAAAGAAACGGCATTTGGCTTCCCCGAGAGGCTCAGCTCTTGGAGCCCTCCAGGGTCATTGTCGTGTCCTGAGCCCCAGCGCCAGCACAGGGCCTGACACATGGAGGGTGCTTGGTAAATACTTCTGAATGCACACAGGTGCAAATGTGCACAAGGGCCGGTGTGAAACGTGACTGGTAACAGACATGTGGACGTGGGCAGAGGTACTTGTGCGTTTATTCAGTGTATACAGTAAAGCAGGAAGTCTGCATTCTGGATTGCTGGGGAAATGGGAGCTTTTACAATGAAAGTGGTTGGTGACTTCCATGTAATGACCACTTATTGGACCTAGGTTGTGCCAGGCACTTGGTGGGTCTTGACAGACTTCATCTCATTTAATCTCTTATTGACTCTAGGAGGAAGTCAGTACTTATTCCCATTTTATTCAGGTGGAAACTGACTCAGAGATGTGTGGGCATTGTTCAGGGTCACCTGAGCAGAGGGGCAGGCCCAGGGAGGCAGTGTGGTGGCTGACATCAAAGATTTACAAGTCTTGGGTTGTCAGCTCTTGGTCTCATAAACTTCCTAAAATGATTTTCTAGAAGCAACCTGTGGTTATAGAGTATGTCTTCTGTGAGGTGGGGGGAGGGCTGACAGTCAGATGACATCTTCCCTTTGCAATTTCTCTATTTTTTGTTAATTCTCAAATTGTTAGAGTGAGTGGGAGGTGCTGAGAACGGAGTCCCCCACCACCCTCAGGCTTTTGGTTAGCACAGGCTGGGCCCTGGGAGAATCCCGAAGCAGTGCCCAGGAGCTTTGGGGAAGGGGTGTTGCACCTGGGCCAAGCAGCCTAACAAACCTCCAAATTTATAGCCCTCTGCCCCTAGTCAGTTCTTCTGCCTGGATCACCCCCTGCATCAAGAGGACTTCCACCTGCCCCTAAGGATCATTGCCATTGAAGTTAACCTGCCCCCCAAGTTTGCAGTGGTTGGAAGTTGGAATAGGACTGAAGGGTGCCTGGCTTTTATAGATCTCAGCTTACAAACCATCAGTTTACAAATCTCATTGCAACCTTTGCCACAGCCCTGTGTGTGAAGAGGGAGGCACTTTGTTCCCATTTGACAGATGAAGGTACTGAAGATTGGAGGGCAGGGCAGGGGCTGAGTTAACCTCCAGCCCACTGGATCCCAAGTCCCAGGGACCTTGATGGTTGTGTCCTACATCTTCAACACCCACTCCTCCCATTCAGCAGATACTAAAAATCTACCCTCACCCTGTTCCCAAGTCGAGATTAATCCAGAAGGTGGGGGATCAGGATGAGCAGGTTGAAGAGCACCCATGGGAATGTCCCTGGTTGGGTGGCAGGCCCTGAAGTAGGGCTCGCTCTGCTAGGGTATAGGGTGGTGTGGACCTGGTCTAGGGCAAAGACCTCCAGTAAGAGGAAGCAGCTGACTTCTGAGCATGGGACAGTTTCTCCCAGGCTGCCGGTGACAGTTCTGCACAGCAGTTTCCAGAAACAGGACAGCTTAGGGACGGACCCAGGGAGCTGCATGTGGGGAGAGTGTGGAGCCTCTCACCTCCGCATTCTGCAGAGTGATTGCCTTTGTTCGGCTCCCAACACAGAATGGATGGCCTGGCTTGCCACCTGGGAAAAAGGTAGCAATATAACGTCTCTGCATCGCCTTCAGGATCAATTCTGCGACCTTTAACTCGGCTTAACGGTCCTGCCCTGGCCCCTGCCAGCCCCTCCTCCCACTCCTTCTCAGGTCCCTGCGCACCTGGTGGGCTCTGCTCTTTCCCCACCTTGGCCCATGCGTAGTACCTCCCACCTCCTGGAGTCCCCACCCCCTTCCATCTGTGTCTCCTATTAGCCTTTCAGGGGTCATCCTGGGAAGCTCCCCTTCATCTGGAGACCCGCTAGCACCCAGAGCTCTTTCTCTCCTCCAGGGCTCACCCTACTGTGTGGTAAGGGTCTGGCTCCCTCCCCGAGGGGGAGCTCCGTGA